TGAAAAAAATGGCGCTGTCGCACAGTTCGCAGCACCCTCCAATAAGAAGGCTGTCAGACCCTTCCTGGGCCTTTGTGCCTATTATCACGAAACCATCAGTAATACCACACACAGAACCGCAAATAGTCATGCTGCCTCCCCGCGTCGACTCCGGTCTGGCCCTATGTCACAAAGTGATCTAAGTTAGGGTCACGCAGGAAGCGGTACTCTCTCCGTTCTAAGTACTAACATACGTAGCCTTTTGTCGAAAAGTGATGACTTGTGTGCCCTGATGAATGATTGTGACGCTGGTATTGTCGCTCTAACTGAAACATGGTTGTCGAATACAGTCTCTGATGCCGAATTATTAAAATGTGAACAACGTTACAAGATCTTTCGCTGTGACAGGTATGAGCGACGAGGTGGTGGTGTTCTACTTGCGATTAAAGATGACATTGAATGTTTCCTTGTTCCTGTTCTCACCGACTTTTAATCGGTATTGTGTTGTATTCGTACTGGCTTTAAAAACCTAATAATTGCAGTTTGTTACCGACCCCCATCCAGCCCATCGAACTTTTGCGATTCTTTTCATGACTGCTTAAACCAGCTTACTGTTCGTTTCCCAGGTGCGACTATTATTCTTTTAGGCGATTTTAACTTCCCGGACATTCAGTGGTCAGACACTTACCAGTGCTCTATGGCAACGTCATCTGAATCTACCGAATTTCTTTCGATTTGCAATGACTTTGGGCTATCACAATTAGTTCAGCATCCCACACGTGTTACCTCAACTACATCATCACTTCTAGATCTCGTGTTGACGTCATCTCGAGATCTTGTGTCCCCGATAACACTGCTGCCTGGGTTAAGTGATCACGACATAATTCATTTTTCTCTATCGTTTCCACGTTTGCGCTCATCCAATCGTTTTAAAGTGATGAGAGATTATAACAGAGCTGACTTTAACACCATAAATACTAAATTATGCGCTTTCTTAGATACTGTTTTCCCTGCAAGTTTTGAACGCACTGCAGAAGATAACTGCAACCTATTTAGAAGTGAAATTTTGGAACTAAAAAATAAATATATTCCGGTAAGAAAGGTGTACTGCAATAGTAATTCTCCCTGGTACAACCGACACCTAAATAGACTCTCTAACCACAAGAAAAGACTGTTTAGAGCTGCGAGGACGTCCCAGTCTGCAGCTCGATGGCTAGCTTACAAATCTGCAGCTGCTACCTACTTAAGTGAACTAAAAGTAGCTAAATTTACCTTTTTTAACAGAACCTTACCATCAGTGCTGCAAAAAAATCCCAAACAAGTTTGGAACATATTACGAGGTAACAAGCATAACAACCTGTCTTTATTATCCCAAGGTAATGTAATTCCGGATCATCAGTGTGCATGTTTACTTAACCGTACTTTTGCTGAAACTTCTTCTGAACAATCCAGTAGTAATGACATACTTCCGTTTAATTTTCCCTCAATGAACATCATTGTCATTAGCTCGGAAGGAATACGGTCCATCATGAATAAACTAAAGATTTCATCTTCATGCGACTGCGAAGGTATCACCACAAAATTCTTGAAAAACACGGCAGAGTGTTCTTCTCTAATCCTTGAACGAATATTCACACAGTCTTTTCTTACGACAGTGCTTCCTAACGACTGGTTAATTAATAGGGTGGTACCTTTACATAAGTCCGGAGCAACCCACGATTCAGGTAACTTTCGTCCCATCTCTCTCACATCAGTACCACGTAAAATTTTAGAACATGTCATTTACTCTCACGTTATCAAGTTTCTTCAAGACAATGATTTCTTTACACCCACTCAGCATGGCTTCCGAAAACAGTATTCGTGTGAAACACAGCTTCTACTTTTTGCCAATGACTTACACATATCCCTTGACTCTGGAACAATAACTGACTGCATCTTTCTAGATTTCAGCAATGCCTTTGATAAAGTAACGCACTCCCTGCTACTACATAAACTAAGCCTAATAAACATTGACTCATACGTGCTCGCTTGGATCCGTAGCTTTCTTACTAACCGCTCCCAATACGTATCGGCTAATAATTTCGACTCGTCTACTGTACCAGTTCGCTCCGGAGTGCCACAGGGGTCTGTCCTTGGGCGATTGCTGTTCCTAATTTACATTAACGACTTGCCTAACAATATTTCTTCAACAATGCGCCCATTCGCGGATGATTCTGTAATTTACCGCCAAATATCTAATAATAATGACATCACTACTCTCCAATCGGATTTGACTAACGTGCTTAACAGGTGTAAATTATGGCAAATGGAATTAAATGTTTCGAAGTGCAAGTCTATGCGCATATCACGTATTACTACGGCAAGTCCAAATTATTTCCATAACAGCGCCGTACTCGATCCCGTCCCCTCTTTTAAATACCTTGGTGTCCATATTACTAACAACCTATCTTGGAAACATCATGTCAATTCTGTCACATGTAAGGCAAACTGGGTTCTAGGACTCATGCGAAGAAACTTTTACATGGCCCCTGTTGATTTAAAAAAAGCTTCTTTACATTACGTACGTTCGTCCGCATTTGGAATACGCGTCATCGATATGGGACCCTGGTAATATCACTTTAGTTAATGAACTTGAGAGCATTCAGAATCGCACTGTTAGATTTATATTATCAGATTATCGCCGTACCGCTAGCGTAACAAACATCAAATCAATTATTAACATTCCTTTACTCGCTACACGCCGTAAGTTATCCCGTCTCGTACTCTTCCACAAAATTTACAACAACTCCCTTCTGCGTTCACTTTTGATAACCCCACCGTCATACATTTCAACTTGCACTGACCATGCGCAGAAAGTTGCTGTTCCTCGCTTCAAGACATCAACATATTCCCACTCATTCCTGCCTAAAACTTGCAAAGATTGGAACCACCTCCCACAATCAGTTGCATCCATCACCTCGCCTTGCAGTTATAAACATCGCTCGATAACATACTTGGTGTTGGAAATGTAAACGTTTGATTTTGTTGTTAGTTTTCTTGTATAATCTACTGGCTGTATAACATAGTTGCAGTTGATAATAGTGGCTTTCCAGTGTTTAATAATGTTCAAGTGTCTTGTCTATGTATTCTTTTCTTTAACATTGTTCGTCAGTGCCCGCTCCCCTCTGCAATGCTGTAAAGCCCTGAGGGTACAATGAATGAATGAATGAATGAATGAATGAATGAATGAATGAATCACCGGTTTATTGCAGACTTCGCACGCATCACGTCGCCACTAACTCGTCTCACAAGAGACGACGTTGCCTTTTTGTTGAAAGAACAGAAGGCTGCCTTTGATGACCTGTGTCAACGTCTTCAAACGCCCCCGGCACTTGCCCACTTCGACGAAGAAGCCCCGATGATGCTTCACCCAGACGCTAGCAATGTGGGTCTTGGGACTGTGCTTGTGCGACGGCAAGAGGACACAGATAGAGTGATCGCCTACGCAAGCCGAACGCTAACACGCGCAGAGGCTAACTATTCAACAACAGAGAAAGAATGCCTCACCGTAGTATTGGCAGTAATGAAATTTCGCCCGTTTTTGTATGGCCGGCACTTCAAAGTTATTAGTGACCATCACTCCCTTTTCTGGTTTACTAGTCTAAAATATCCCACCAGCCGATTAGCGCGTTGGAGCCTGAAACTGCAAGAGTTTGACATGACGGTCGTAAAGAAGTCAGGCGAGCGACATATGGACGCTGACTGTCTGCCCCGTTCACCCATTGAGTCGGCAACCCTGCCTGAGGAGGAGGAAATGGCATTTCGTGGTGTCCTCGCCACGACCGCTATTGCGCAGCAACAACATGATGACATTGAGTTGTTTGGAATAATTACTATTTGGAAGGCAGATCTCAGAAGGCACCGAGAGTTTTCGCAAGAGTGTTGTCATCGTTTTGTTTATGGGGTGGAGTACTCTACAAAAGAAACTTTTCGTCGACAAGATCCGCCTATCTACTCGTCATCCCAGCAGCCCTTCATACCGAAGTACTCAAAGCATGCGCCAACGAGATGACCTCTGGCCATTTGGGCTTCACGAGAACGTTGGCGAGAGTACAGCAAATGTATCACTGGCCGAGACTAACCACAGCCGTAAAGCACAACGTTCGTAGCTGTTTCGACTGCCAGCGACGCAAGACACCATCAACTAAGCTAGCTGGCCTCCTGCAACCCCTGCAGATCACCAACAGCTCCATTCTACCAGATCGGCATGGACTATTTGGGCCCTCTACCTACTTCTACGGCAGGGAACCGCTGAGTTATCGTCACGACGGATTATCTGACCCACTATGCCGAGACAAAGGCTATCCAGAGAGGTAAAGCAGTGGAGGTGGCAAGATTTTTCATCGAGAATAATGTACTGAGGCATGGTGAACCAACCGGCGCGATCACAGACAGAGAAACCACATTTACGGCAGCTCTTTTGGATGACGTACTGATGCTGAGTGGAACAACGCATCGTAAGAGCACCGCCTACCACCCACAAACAAACGGGCTGACGGAGTGCCTGAAGAAAACCATTGAAGACGTTGGAGGCTTCCGGGCACGGTCAGCTCCCATTGTCTCCCCACCCCTCTGCGATACTATGCTGCAAATGCCTATGATCTGCTTTCGTTACGTTTATTTATATATCAAAACTGTTTCTTCCCTTCCTGGTAATTATTGTGTTTTATGTTTGGGATCTTTCTTTTTTTACCATTCACTAGCTTATAACGATGCAGTCGTATGGTTCCAGCAGATCTTTCTTCGGGCATTGCTCCTGGATGGCCTTGTTGTTCCGATGATCACCCTTGAAACGTGGCTACCAGCAGCCTTCTATCCCCGCTCGAAGTTTTATTTCGTATTGATTTTCATTTTTCTATTCTTACTCTCCTCGTCCACATTTCTTCTCGTCCACCCTTTCCTCCCTTCTGTTTACTTCAACGAGCATAATTCTCATCCAACGCTCAACTCCCTCTTCCTTCTGTCAGCACTCCGTATCTTGCCCACAGCTTTTCATCACTCTTCTTCATTTTGCTCGAATTGAATGCCAACGTTTCACCTCGGACGAGCTGGGCTGGGCAGCCCGGCTTGCCCAATCTGTGGCACATACGCGCCCAAGTTTTCACGAAATCTACGCGGACATTTTCAAGCATACAACAGCTCTGCTGTTGTAAACGCTATTTTATCTCCAACTATATTGTAAGTCTCAATGAAGTGCGCAGCTGGGCAGTATTCTTTCTTTCTTTCGTGTTTTTTATTTTCGTCCTTTTCTCTTGATTTCTTATTCGCTGTTTTAAATTTTAACTGTTATTTCTTTTTAATACTTCATTATTTTATTTTAAAAAGTGAATAATTTATTCTTTATTAATTAAATCTTTATTATGTTATGCCTCGTTTCATTCATCCTCAGATTTTATACGTGGTTTATGTTGTGTAATTCTGGCCATAGTAATAACATCCTGACTTCATAATGTCATCAAGATGCTCGAAGAGCAAGAGAATAAACGCTTTTCATTCGCGCGAGTGGCTGTTCATTACGCGGCAATTTTCTATGCAATATTTAGTTTGCCTGCGTTGTTATCATCATCGAAGCGCTTGATGAAAAAAGACATAGAAGACTAGCCCTAAAATCATTTTCAAGGTGGTCGAAGAACGTGAGGCAAAATACTTTTCCGGAAGAGCGGTCCTTGTGCTACAGCTGACTGTACTTTATGTGGTTTAGCTTGCGTTACTTCAAGCGACGATGATAGCACACGGGAGCTATGCCTCCTAAAGTGCTCCACACCAAAAAAACGGAGTTTTGAGTTTATGAGAGGATTCGGGAAAATTTGGTGTCATGTGCTCGGACACTTCTTATTTTTTCTGAGAAAGATTTGTGCTGAAATCTGGTGCTGATGCTATTTGGCTGTACACATCTTCTGGTCTCTCCATGCAGCAGAGTTTTTCCGGCTAAGCATGTCTGTACCTCGAAATATAAAAAAAACGTAGAAAGCCTAAGCAATCAAATATATAATTATGTTCGTTACTTACCCAGTAAGGAGCATGATAATGTCAGACGTGGCAAAATAAGCTTTCTGGGCAACGAAATTCATAAACTTTGCTACAGTTTCTCCATAAAGCACGTTTTTCGTTGCTTCATAGCCAGATACTTCCACCATGTAGGGTTCATCAGAGCGCTGAAAAAGCAAAACTTATGCCATTATTTGTTCAGCCTTGCACAGCAGAATAAATAGACAGTGCATGCAGATGATTAGATATTCACAGCTAGATATCTATTAGTAGATTGCATTGGCAGTAAACTTAATATTGAAAACAGTTTTATTGTTATTGCAGTCTTCCTATGAGACATGTCATCTCAGGCTATTTTTTACAGCATAGCAAAATGAAAATCTACTAATCCTATTTTTGAATTTTAAAGAAAATATATTACAGGTCTTTGCTGAGTGAATGAAATGTGATTGATACGAAACCACTTCACTAAAGTGCATCGAAAGTGGGTAAACTGAAAACAAGTTCACTCAGTACAGCTCATCCTTCATAGGGCCGCGAATCGCTAAATCGTATTGGCCATAACTTTTCAAATGTCATCGTACTGAAAAAAAAACTTGTCATGATGCTTTCACGTTACAACTTATTTTCAGGAGCACAAGAAAAGCAGCTTCTGAAGGTTGAAACGGTGAAATGTTGAAAACAACCTTTAAACTATTGTAACACACGAAGCTTCACTCTAGCTCCACTGTGCTTAAAGAGTTGCACCCATCATTAGAGTCGTACGAGTAGGAAAGGCATTCTGTCGATTGGCTTGACATGCAAAAACAGATGTGGTGTCGTGTCATCCGTTAATACATGACAAATTTTTCCTTTGAGTATTGTCTTCGGTTTCAAACCACACAGAAGAAGCTTTTTAGAAATATCGCATGCAAGTCATATTTGAGTGTACTCTTCTCATTACTGTACATTTAGTAGTTCATGTATATCAATGAGTTAGATCACTAAGCACATCTTCTCCATACGCTACGCCTTGAATTTTGATTGTGCCCCTTGCGAATGAATGGCTATTGGAATATCATCCAGGAATCCACACCCTGTTATGTATGAACGAAATCTTGTCCTCCACATGCACACACAGGTATAAACATGTAACAGGGCTTGAAAGTCGCGTCGAGGATACCGAACGTAGGTGTATGTGAATGGTTAGTTCATCTTTATAAGGCATACTACGACGGAGAAAGCCTCTATATTGGTACTCCGTGTTCCTGTAAAAGTATTTGTCGCGTTCAAGCATTCATTTTGTGAGATTAATTTTACGTGGGTGAGTACTTGTCTAGGGGTCGTTCATGCTTCCTACTATATACACAGATATCTGAGGATTTTAATACAGTGCGCATCTGCCAGTGTTACCAAATGAGGAGACTATACCATATGGATTCAACTACAGACGAAACTCTCTGAGTGAATTAAAAAATGGCTTCACCTATCTATCTATCTATCTATCTATCTATCTATCTATCTATCTATCTATCTATCTATCTATCTATCTATCTATCTATCTATCTATCTATCAAGCAATCTATCTATCTATTTATCTATTTATCTATCTATTTATTTATTTATCTATCTATTTATCTATTTATCTATCTATCTAGTCAACATCTACGCATGCATGATTTTTTGCCCACCTTCGTATCTTACTGTATACAAATATTTGCATAATACGACATGACCATTACAAACATGAGTGACAGAAGAAGTAGTGAAAACATGACAAGTCTGTTACGAATGTTTGTTGAACAGATTACCTGCAAGGCCAATATCGAACTTTGCTTTTGCGTTCATCATGAAGTAAATTCACCGAGTCACATGCAGCTAGCTTATTCCAACCTACCATAGGTACTGGTATGCGGATACGCCTCACATGCCAATCCGAATTATTGTCGACATCAACCTTCATTCAGGAAAATCAACCATTTAAATCTTTATAGAGAACTTTTCTGAGCTAAATACCATATACACAGAGATTTTCTAAAGTTGGTCATACTAACGTAATTTTATGGTAGATGTTCTGCAACTTGAGGGGCGACGTGCTTTGAATTCTGACTAAATGTATCATAAGAACGGCTATCTGACACCTATTAGTATAGAGGAGCTTGGTAAAGCATATAAGGCTCTGGCATTCAGAGCACAATAAAGTGATAGAACAATACCTTTTCCGTCACGCTGATTCCAACAATGGTCAACTGTACTTTTGGCTGCACCATGCTTCGGTACCGCAGATTGGCCTTTCGAAAAGGAATATAATCAGTTAATCGGTGTTTCACAGATAAAAAACAAGCTACACAAGATAAACATGCTCAACAAAAAAATATGTAGACAAATTTTGCCATGTGCTTCGTCAGTTTTTTGCCTTATAGCTGATAGGTGTAATAACGTTTAAAGGGCCACTCACCAGGCTACATACCAAATTTTAATCATACCCTGCCACGGTGGTCTTGCCATCAGGCTAAGGTACTCGGCTGCTGACCCGCAGGTCACGGGATTGAGTTCCGTCTGCGGCGGCTGCACTTCGAATGGAGGCGGAGATATTGTAGGCCCGTACGCTTAGATTTGGGAGCACGTTAAAGAACCCCAGGTGGTCGAAATTTCCTCCCATAACCAAATGGTGGTTTTGGGACGTTAATTCCCACATATCAATCAATCAGTTTTAGTTGGAGAGTGGAAGTTGTTGAGTGTCTGTCAGGAGCACACTGTCACAAAACTTATTTGAATCGGTTCACCATGAGCGAAAAAACAGGTTTTTTGAAGCGGCGTGAAACAAGGATGAGAGGAGACGAGCTCAAAACGCTTGCCGCTCCTCCGCGTAACCATCGCAAGCCAAATCTCTTCCCCATCCTCTCAGGCATCTGACCAAGAGGTCACGTGCGCATGACCTACCCAAACAAGTCCAACCCCCAAGCACGCTAGCGGCGTTGCTTTGTTGACCAGCGGTATTTTATGGTCTTTTGCCTGTTTCTGCGGGATGGTTTTTATCGCTGATTTAGACGTGGCAGAATTGATGAGCACAATAAGTGCGCCAATGAATGGGAGCGTTTCAGGGCAGTCGTCTGCTCGATTGCGCTGAGTGTAGGGACATGAACGCATGCAAAACGCCGACACACTGGCCCCGCATCTCGTTGCGATTCATGGGAGAAAAATAAAAAAAGACGCTTACAGTCTGTCATTGCGTCTCATTATTTCCCTAGAGCTTTATTATTTTCTTCAAGCTGCAAACTACATAAACTACGCTTGCCATGTTAAATAATTTGCGCCATGTCACGTGTCACTGTTTGCAACGGCAGAGTAGAGTCGTCTACGTAGAGAACCAACGTCACTGCATTGCCGTGTACGTAGGGCCATTCGTACGCGCACGTCATGCCCTCATTCTGTAGGCACGCACCGGCAGAAGGGAGGGGGAGCAGCGTTCATCTTGAAATTTGACCAATTTGCCCGGCACGTAGCGTTGCAAATTTTGGCAGACGTGATCATGTACGCCTTGTCTACGCAATGCGCTTGTATGCTAAAAATAATCAAACCTGGTGAGTGGGCCGTTATTGCAAACCCTACCAAGCTGTGCATTGTTAGAAGTCTTTTTCGTCCCAGGAAAACAGCATCTGAATCGCTATTGGCTCTGTCTCCACGTTACGTACATAGTCATACTTGCACAACACTCTCTTCTGTCTTGGTTCACTAGATGCCGTAATGAACTCGGAATTTTGTCATTGTGTTTCATAGCTTGTCCGCGCAAGCACACGCTGAAATTCGACATCTCTTCAGCAGTCACTACAAAAAAAGTTACGGCTTTGCGCCAAATGCGAAGCAATGAACGCAATAGCAACAAATGGAAAGGTCACGGGCAAAATGACAAGCAGATTGAAACGTGCCCGTCATTTCTCACGGACAAATAACGCACGAAACGTACTCACAGGTCCTGATAAACGTGAATAAGCCTCTCAGTTGTTACTTCGCTGTGTCTAAAAAGCAAGCTCCTTTCGAAAACGGAGATTGTACAACGATTCCATTGACCTTTGTGAGCTCCGTAACCAGAAGAGTATTGTTCCGGTAAAAGCTACTGGCCAACCAATGCGTACGATCCTCCCCACCGCGAGATCAAGGAACACGAGCGAGCGTCCACCTTCTTCTCTGTGCGGGGCAAAGTACGGCTCATAGATGAGAGCGCGCACCACCACGCACCCACTGCACCATCTTTGTGGTAATGCTCAAACACGATAGTCGCCCCCACCAAGATACGCACCGCTGCATGCTCATTGTGCCATCTTGCTGGTAATGCTGAAAACACAATTGCCCCCCCCCCCCCCGAGATGCGCGCCGCCGCGTGCTCATTGCGCCTTCTTGCCGGTAATGCTGAAAGCACGGTGCCCCCCCCCCCCAAGATTCCTATCCCTAGCGGTAAGTGGTAGATATAAACAGCTTACCGTTTTAACGGTAAATGATTTGCATCTTCGTGTTTCAGTGGTTAACACCTCACATTCAAGACTCAGAGGTTCCACGTTCGATTCCGCGCACCGGAGTCTTTTGCAGGATTTTTTTCTTTTTGCATTTTTATATATATGCATTCGTATACATGTACAGTGAGCGACGGCGACGCCCACGTCGATGCCGCGCTGGCTGCAAAATTCATCCGAAAATATTCATATAATTGCAATCGCAATAAAGAAGTACTGGATGAAATAAAGCGGCAATATGTTGAGGCTTCCACTAAGCAGCAAAATGCTTCAATTAATGGAACCGGACAATTCTCCTGACAAATCCGGTTGCCTTTAGGTTGCATTGTATGTATTTGCAAGTTCATCTAGGTTGCTTTTAGGCACTTTCTTGGTTTTACTAAGCTCTAGCTAGGAGACGAATTACCAAGCTGCAGCTAGGAGATGTTTCATGTTGATTCTCTCAACAGACGTGTTTCAGAGAGGTTAGACAATCCCAGACGCGACACGGATGTCTAAACTTCAGACACGAAAACTTGTCTTTATTACTGCCGTCATAATGTAGTCATATCAAGCATGGCAGGCGAGTTCACACTACGCATGGGAGGTATAGGCACGTCCCTGAAGCCGTAGACATTCCAAGCTACCGAGTCTTCTTGGAGCCACCGTTGACTTACCCGATCTCCAGTATTTTCTGTTTGTATTGATTGGGGACTACGGCATGCCGCCATCGCTTGGCATAAATTCCTTGGTTTACTTCCTACAACTTAAGAGGGCTAGAAGTGAGCAGTGGAATGTACCCCACTTTGGAAGATACACTTATGATGGTCACAGTTGCCTGAATGGGCTAACGAGAAATGACTTGCCGAACATTTTCACTGTTAAAAACTCACAGGGTCTATTATAAATGTGCTTATGAAGACTCGTAGGTAAAAGAAGTGTTCTTTTATTTTGATGAACGTTATTTGCACACAAAGAGCCACTCTTCAGATTCTTGAATAGAAGCCTGCCACCTACTTCATCTGGGCACGCACTCGCCAAGTCAGCAGGTTATTCGTGATATTAAAAGTCAGGACTACATACAAGCCCCTTTCTTCAAATTTAGAGGCAAGATATGGCATTCAAGGCTATCTAAAGGAATGAGGGACAATAGGCTCTGATACTAAAAAGGCGGTGCGACGAAAGTTGCGCTCGAATGTGCGTGGGCGCGCTTATTTTAGCACACGACAATCAGCCTTAGTTGAATGTGAGACATCTTTAGAAAACTTGCATGAGAATTTTTTTTCATTTTCAGCTTGCTCATTTAACAGCAACTATTATACACAGTGCCAACAAAAACAAGCACACCTGATCCTAATACAGCCTTTGATTTATGTTGGTTATTCGCCAATAAGCATGCGATACCTTTTTGAACGTCAGATAACAGAAATGTGATATTGGATGACAGGCGCACGTCCACTGATGAGATCGGAAACACGCCTTTGGATGAAAAAAAATGGAACCTGGGACTTGCGCTTGTAACCTTGACGCCACACACATGACTGCATAATTTGGCTGAACATTTATGGTCCTGTCAGCTTTTCGCTGAATGTAGTTTTTTCAACAAACTCCAGGAGTGCTTCATCGCCCCTTTCAATAAGGAGGCACTGGTACAGTTTGCAATGGCAGCGCGTTTTTGAAACAAGTGGAAGTAACAGCTGTGAGAATTGATATTTCGAGTTTCTGCTGTATATACTACCGTGGTCTTTTATACTATATTTCAGACTAGCCTCGCAACTTGTTAGAGATTGGGAAACTGATACGTCACTGCAGAAACGAAACAATAATGAAATAGCACCAATTATGCTAACTGAAACTAAAATGTGCAGTCACCTTACTGCAAACGGAAACCTATGTCTACCGTTTTCTGAGAGATGGATTGTGTTTGTTTTTTGTTATATTTATTGAATGCGAAACAACGATTACAACTGATGTGTGCTGCAAGACACTGAGCAAACTGAGATGTGGTACTAACATTAACGATACATTAAACTGTTACCAGGACTTCTTCTCCTCCATGACAAAGCGCGTGCTCACACCGCAGCCCACCATCATTCATGGCGGCCAAAACCAAAGACGAGCTACAAGCGCTGCTGGTGACCTTAGCGTCAGAGTTTAAAATTTGATGTCGTCCAACGAAACCTTGTCATGGCCCACTTGGGCTTTAGTGTACCGGGACCCTGTCGTTAAAGTTAGAAATCTGACAGGTGCAGTAAAGTGGACTAATTGAAGACGATTAGTAAGACAGGGCATTCAGTGCGATATGGGTTGTCTTTCCCGCGTTAGTATCTATTAGCCTAAACTACCTGGAGCTGGTAGGAGGTGAATTACCAGGTAACATGAAGTTGATCGAAGACGTCGTCGAGGCGGGTAAGAGGGTATACATTGGGCATGGTAATGATGTTTAAGTGGAGATAGTATTCGCGAAAGCGCTGCAGTTGTGTTATTCGTTTTTCACGGGGATGACATGGGACTACCAGCATAGAACGAGTGAAATGTGATGACACGCTTCATTTTTTCCTTTGTTTGCAATTTTGAACAATAATAGGTCCAAACACGACCAGGCAAGTGTCAAAGCGGTGCATGAGCGTCAGTGTCAATGTGACGTAGGAGGAGAGTACAGGAACGTTTTCCCAGTAACAGCGTCAAACACAGTCAGAATCGCCTCAGAAAGCATGAATAGTGGTCTTGAGTGGGGAGGTCATTTAGGTCTAAATAAATCCTAATAGAGAACACGCAGTCATCACCACTCTGCGGAACAATACGGCCTTAAATGTTGCAAGAACACAGCAGGGCTGACGACTCAACCGGAAGCCTGCAAAATTCGAAGCAAGCTGCCGTGTACGTTGAATACCAGTGCAGTGAATGTCGAAAACGAAGAGCCCAGTAAGGCGTGTGTTCTCAAGTATATCAGGCACGTTTCAAGTACATTGGATTCTGTACCTAGGCATATTTCGCACCCACAGCTTTTTTTCATTCTTCGAGATTTCCTTGGTTCGCGCAACGCTTACTCTGCTGCAGACTTTCAATTCATACCAGGCCCCGAAATTTCAAACATATTATCCGGTGTTTCACGTCCAAAACCACACAGAATCTCGATTAAAGACGCGGTACTGGTGGGGCTCTGAAAATTCCGACCACACCTGCGTCTTTGAGGTGCACCTATGCGTGAATACAAAGGTCTGTATCAATTCTCCTCTACCGAAATGCAGCCGCCCTGTCCAGGATAGAACTACTGACCTTAGAATCAGCAGCCGAGCACCGTAAGGCTCAAGGCAGACATGCTTTTATGAACTGTCAGCAAGATGTCCCACTCATCGAGAGACATCGATTGGCACACGGTGAATCATCATACATACTATGTCGCACAGTGGGGAACTACAAAATTTGTGAAGTTTACTAATTGATTGAATAATGTTTACCATGTGTTTCATTCTCGCCTGCCTTCTAACTGTACATTTCACGCGAATACTTGCAAGTGATTTTTCGTTGAAGAAAAATATTCATGGTGCATGCACACGCTTCGAGAGTTCTTTTTGGTAAAGACTATTTTGTTTGGTCGCCACGATATTACGAGCCTACAAACACAGTGCACTTATTTTAACTTGAACCACTGCCTTAAACGTAGTGTGAAGTTTTAGGCCGTAAATTTGTACTAATGACAATGTTTCAGTTAGCTATCCGGAGGAAGCACATGGTTCGGATCGTGGAGTAAACTTTGAGCTGCGCTATGTATGCGTGGTATATCTCGAATGTTATTCTCGTTGTATACACACTGATATATAGCGTTGCATTCATGACTTGTACGTACAGAGTTTCCTAGGATAGCGATGTAGCGTGAAATCTTGTGCTTGCTGAACTTCATTGCTGAGCAAATTTCGAAGTCGACTACGACGAAAACTTCCGGACGTATGAGCACAGGTATGCGGAGGCCTGAAAGCAAACCACTGTGTTATTCTGAAAATATCTTGTATTAACCAAACGAACAAAAAGACAATGACACCCGTATGATTCTTCTGAAAGAAATTGACTTAAGCAAACAGTAGAATGTAAGAGTGCCAAAAAATGAAAGAAGTCCGCTTGTTTTTTTGTAGATGTCACTCTTTTCTTTTTCTCAACTTCATGGCAACGACCAGACAATGAAAATAAGAATAGAAGAAATCCAGGGAGGTTAACATGGGCTGACCACAGTAGGCTACCTTGCACTGGACAAGGAAGAGAAAGAAGGACAGATGGAGAACAATCTTGAAGCCAACAGAGGTCGAGGAGATACTTGCAGTATTTATGATATAAAGTCACGTTATAAAGCGGAATAAAAGACAAGTTATTGCCGACAGGTAGTGTACCTGCCAACTTAAAATGATTCGTCCGATGCTTTATTACTTGAGCTACAACGATAGTCAATTTACCGCCGTTGTGTGTGCAAATAAAACAACACTAACTGGAAATACGTTGTTTTTTTGCACTTGAAGGCGCTAAACACTCACGGTTCTGAGAGGTAAGTTTACTACGACATACTGATTGGTAATTATAAACAATCCGCAAAATGAAATTGTTGCTCGTGACGCCACTATAAAGTTCCAGCACCAATTACCTGAATTTCATAGATTTCGACCGTGTCTAATAGATAATTCACAGTCGCTTATCGGTATAAATGACGTTCAGCCACCAATTGTTAAAATTCTGCGCGCGAGCGCTGACTGCCAGTCGATAAGAGGCGTTTAACGGAGGACACGGCCAAATAAACGACGACACAAACATGCCTGCAATAAGGAGTCTTGTGCGGTGGTGTTCTGCTAGGCAGTTCGAGAAATTGGGAACCAGGGGCGTGAAACAGGCGCCTACAAACTCGTGATTTATACTTGCACATTCATGTTGAAAAATGGGGGCTGTAATAAAAACATAGAAAGGGCCATAACGTACCAAATTTCTATAAACTTCACTGAAACAGTGTCGCCATATTACGAAAAATACAGTTTTAAATTCGTGCCGTCACATTTCTATATCTTCACGCGGATTTGAAAATTTTAGTCGTGGCGTTGATATTCTCCTGTATTATAGTGCATGTGACTTTGAAATAACGAGAATATGAATGGTAGTGTTCTTATGTTTACTAAAAACGCAGTATACCTACAAAAAAGTACCTGCGTAAATGCGTGCTCCACTGCAATTATAGAAAGACGGTAGTCTCCTGCCAGCCTTCTTTCTTGCATAGCTTCATATTTCACGCACAGCGGAAAAAAAACACTCTGGTCTTTTTAATTACGTATCTGTACTTCATAGTAAGTGAACACACCACCTAATACTTACATATAAATGTTGGGCCTCAGACATGTCTAATACGTGCTTTTTATCGACGTTTACAAGTATGAACGCAGCCATCAATTCATTGTGGCTGGGCGTTTACCAGCTGGCTAGACTTGGGTCAGGTGGCTAATTTGTGTGACGCAGAGACAGAGAGGAAGACAGACCGACCATCCATCTAACTATCCATCCGTCCGTCTGTCCATCCATCCATCCATCCATCCATCCATCCATCCATCCATCCATCCATCCATCCATCCATCCATCCATCAATCAATCAATCCGTCCATCCGTCCGTCCACTGTTTCATCCATTCGTCCGTCCGTCCGTCCGTCCGTCTATCTGTCTATCCGCCTACGTTTAAATGCTTTTGTGATTACCCTTTTAACTTCAGGTAAACCAAAATTAGTATGATAAGGTAAAATGGTTTGTAGAATAAGGTCTCACAGATCATGGTGTTAATAATGTCACTATTCCGTCACGTAAGCCAAAAATCTTTTTCTCCAGACATTTGCGACACGCACGCGTGTATGTGCCGAGGAGATTGAAAGTTTGAATCAAGCCAGGAACGGCAAAAATTTACATGGGTTAGTTTAACGCGTGGGCGCTAAGAAAAAGCCGATGTTAAACTCTAAGTCAAATCCTGTCTGGACTACATGCCCGCAGGCAGGAAATCAGGTCAAATTATCACCGCTTCTAGGCGGCTGCGTAGTCGTGTTGCAGAGAAACTGGCCCGATTTGAAGTTGCCTTCACAATAACCGGGACAAAGAGTAGCCGGGATTTTAGATAAATTTCTCCTCGCAAGATACAGCCTGCGCTTAGGCGTGTCTTCCGTAGGCGGCCTGGCCTTGATGTGGTGGCGGAAAAAAAGTAATATTCCACGCTTTTCAGGGTGGTTTCTTGCCGAGAATGCGACGGAATATTACGACTACAGGTAATATATACTATAAGTATCACAACCACCTATACTTGCGAGAATAACATGCAAAGCACAGCCCTGGATTTGAACTCGGGATCGCATGCACCTGAAGCAGATGTATTACTTATTGCACCACAGTGCCACCGCATGACAGCGACTCTTTTTGTGGGGGTATATATCTACCAAGTGGGTTTTTGCAAACCACACTCGGAACCTTGAACTGTTCTTGTGCCATGTGCATGCATTTGATCAGGGAATAGTTTGTACGGCTTCATGAATTCGAGACAACCACGCTGAACGCTTTCGGCTCCGACTTCGGTTGATGGTGCGCCGTTCCGGAAGAATAATTAACGTGTGTTTGTGCGTCGTTTTAGTGCTTCCTCGTGAACTATGGGTGTTACGCTCACCGAAATTCGCGGACGAGGCTGTGTTTGGCTGTAGAAACCTGCGTGTGTTTCTCGCACGTGCGTGTGCTGTGAGTAATTTGGCTGATTTTTGTCAGGAGGTACACGCAGGTCAGTGACAGCAGCCTATTCTCAGCTGTTTGAAGACAATGCGGTTTTACACGTAAACGTTGCATGGGTATTTTGGCGTGCCTACTCTAACATTTGCATTCCGTGCGCGCGAACTCGCGCGAGGTGCACGCTGAGGCCAGCAGCACCTTTTTAGCATTTCAACGATTACTCATTTCTGCAAGTAGAATTGACGCGGATTATTTCGCGATATAGAGTGCTTTTTACTCATTTTCATTCTTTAAACTGTTTTATTTATGGGGAGTGGCTACTCTTACCTTTTTCTTCGTTCAGCGAACTGGGAGCGCAGAGAAAACACAAAGGACGAAGCGAGGAACCACACAACACGAGCGCTCAACTATCAACTGATTTATTTTCCACATCGGAAGGACATATATAAACACAAAATGCGCATGTCAAAAAAAAAAGATTATGACGAAATCAAGGGCAGCATGCGAAGGCGTGTAATCAAGGCACATGTCTAAGGGTTATCTAGGTAGCTGAATTCACAGTCAAGTAGTGATAAGGAAGGATGACTTATACATTGGTCCGCATTCCTGGAAATGTGATAGGCTTCAGAAATTTCGCGCGTAGTTTGATGAGGATGCCGGAACAGAACAATTGTATTCTCAAACAGAGGTTGGCACTTGCACGAAACGCAATGTGACGCTAAATGGGAGTAAGGTGTATTTTTCAACGAGCTTCTGTGTTCCCTGAGACGCACGTTCACACATCGGCCGGTCTGGCCAATGTACATACGTCCACAAGAAAGGGGTATCTTATATACTACTCCGGTGATGCACTTAACAAACTTAGTAACGTGCTTCTGGAGGCATCCTCTACCTTTAGATGCATTATGTGCCCTCCTGTGCACCATTGAACATATACTGGCCAATTTATTGGGTGCCGAGAAACCACGCGCACACCGAACCGGTTTCCCACGTTTTTTAACCCATGGGCCATTTTATGAATGTAGGGGATTACTGCCGCGCGCTTCTTATTCTCTTCCTTGTTCTCTGAAGAAGTACATGTGCGTTTTTCATTATTTTTGACCGTACGCAAGAGCTTTTCACAGACTGAGGCTATTACGTAGGAAGGGTATCCCGCACCTATCAGCCGTTCCAACTGTGCTACGAAACCACTTTGCAAAGGTATGCAGGCACATTTTCCGAGGGCTGAACGTAAGCATGACAGTACGAGTAGTAAGCATGACATCACGGAAGTAGTATATAAGATACCCCTTTCTTGTGGACGTATGCACATTGGCCAGACCGGCCGATGTGTGAACGTGCGTCTCAGGGAACACAGAAGCTCGTTTGAAAAATACACCTTACTCCCATTTAGCGTCACATTGCGTTTCGTGCAAGTGCCAACCTCTGTTTGAGAATACAATTGTTCTGTTCCGGCATCCTCATCAAACTACGCGCGAAATTTCTGAAGCCTATCACATTTCCAGGAATGCGGACCAATGTATAAGTCATCCTTCCTTATCACTACTTGACTGTGAATTCAGCTACCTAGATAACCCTTAGACATGTGCCTTGATTACACGCCTTCGCATGCTGCCCTTGATTTCGTCATAATCTTTTTTTGACATGCGCATTTTGTGTTTATATATGTCCTTCCGATGTGGAAAATAAATCAGTTGATAGTTTGAGCGCTCGTGTTGTGTGTTCCTCGCTTCGTCCTTTGTGTTTTCTCTGCGCTCCCAGTTCGCTGAACGAAGAAAATGAATTACCAACTGGCCCACATTTTGATCCTTTTACTCTTACCTTTATCCAGCTTCACATCTCTGTTCAAGTGAATGCCGAAACGCGCGCCACGATCAAGTATGACGTACACAAATTACACAAAATTAGCGGTTGGTTTCCCTCCAAAGAAATAATGCCTCTGCACATCTCCTTCGCGAACGTCGGCGTGCAGTTTGGGTCAAAAAACGGTGCAGAATGAACTCAAAATATTTATTATTACTGCTAGCTGTTACTCTTTAGAAAATGGGGGTTTTTATAGCTGGTACATTATCTCCACAGCAGTACACTGGTTGTCTTGGTGGTGGTTCACTGTTGCAAATTCATGCTGGTATTTGACAACTGTACTATTATTCAAAAGAGTGAGCAAATGTCGGTGACATACGCTCTCTTGCTGACTTCGATTGAGTTATTGATATGTGGGGTTTAACGTCCAAA